TAGCCTCTCTGAGCCTCAGTTTTGCCCTCTGTAAAATGGGAGAAAGCCATACCTACCTCCTTGGAGTGTCATGATGTTTCAGTGACTTAATAGACATGCTTAGAACAATGCTTGGCACATGGCATGGCCCAATAAGTGGAAACTCTTATTACAGCAGTCATGGGACCTTCTATCTGTCCAAGCATCCAGGCACGTGTCTGACAACATCTTGCTCAGGTATTTTGAGTCATTCTCGGAGCAGGAGAAGTTTATTTATCACCTTCTTATGGGAGCTCTGGTGGCGTAGTGCCTAAGGTATTTAACTGTTAATCAGAAGGCTGGCAGTTCAAACCCACCAGCCACTCCTTGGAAAGAAGGTTGGACAATCTACTTCCGCAGAGATATGGCCTTGGAAACCCAAGGAGGGGTTGTCACTATGAGTGGAATTGACTTGAGGGCATTTTTTTTTTTTTTTTTAAATGAAGACAGGTCTCTAATGCATCAGCTTGATAACCATTTAGACTCAGACTCAATCCAGGCGGCACAATCCAAAGGCCCAGAAGGACTCCAGCTCTTGGCATTTCCGCTCAGGGCTGAGGTGAGCCTGGCCTGAGTCAAAGGCTCTCGGGAGCCTTGCAAAGCTTGAAGCAGAGGGCTGGGGTGAGTGGGGAGGTGCTTCTCCTCCACAGACAGAATCCAGTCCTGGAGTCAGCTCTACGCCGCTCACGTCAGTCTGTCTCATACATGCACCACGTAGCACCTTTCATGAAGTCAAAGCTACGAATTATTCTCAGGATTCTTATATATGCAATGAGTGAATTCAACTGGCAGGTTTCTAAATAAATGGATGTTTAAGCAAGGACATCACTAAGTAGTTACAAATTCCAAGGGACTTGTGTAATTCTGTTCATAAAAGCTGTGAAGGCATTAGGTGAGAGTTTTTCCCTCGAAATCAAAAGGTCCATTTAAAGGGCGCCCTGGACGGGACCTGGAGGAGCTTCCAGATGCTACCACCCATGTGCATTACGGCAGAAGGCAGTCCCGCTCTTTCTCAATGTAAGTTGTTGTTGTGGGTGCTGTCGAGTCGGTTCTGACTCACTGGGACCCCTGTGACAGAGTAGACCTGCCCCATAGGGTTTCCCGGTCTTCAATCTTTATGGGAGCATGTCACCAGGTCTTTTCTCCCAGAGCAGCTGGTGGGTCAAACTGCCGACCTTTCGGTTAGCAGCTGGGCACCTACCTCCTGTGCCACCAGGGCACCTTCTCAATACAACGGCATCTCCAAAATGCCAGGAGGCCTCTTAGGGATGATCTGAGAGGAACACCTGCTGGACGTCAGGCCTCAAGCAGATCTCAGAACCTTGTTTAGGAACATTTTCTGGCTCACACTTGTGGCATTTATCATAACTGGGCATAAAATGGGATTTCTGGGTGTTCCTAGTTTTTCTGGGGAACAGCTAGTTGCTACACGTCTGAATTGCTTCACGGTAATTCAACAGCCAAATGTCTGCCATCCCTAGTGAGCTATGGGAAATTTCTGTCAGAAGTAGAGGCAGAGGCAGCAGTAGGAAGAGAGAGGACTGGAGGTGTAGCTGGGGGAATGTGGGCAACCTCCTTGGTTTTTCTATCTCATTTATAAAAATACAGAGACACTTACTTGTTCATGGTTGCTGGGAGAATTGGGTAAGACCATATGTGGCCAAAGCACTCAGTTCAGGGCCTGTTAGTCAGGAAGCCCTCAGTCCGTCCTTCCACCCTTCTTCCCCGAAGCCTATCTTTATGGTTTTAACAGTCCCTTCCCTGCTTCTGTGAGGAGCTCTGGTGGCACAGTGGTTAAGGTATTTGGCTGCTAACCAAAAGATTCATGGTTCAAACCAACAAGCCACTCCATGGGAGAAAGATGAGGCAGTCTGCTTCTGTAAAGATTTACAGCCTTGGAAACCCTATGGACAGTTCTACTCTGCTCTATAGGGTCATGATAAGTCAGAATCGACTCGATGGCAGTGCGTTTGGGTTCCCAATTTCTGTTTCCCTTGGTCCTCAGGAAGGGGCAGGCTCAGTAACTCCTGACTCAGATGGGCATTCCACCTCTTGATGGTGGCATAGTTTGGGAGAGGGGATGGGAAAGGTGGTTTCAGGGGCCTCTGGGGAATTGGCACCCCTAGACAATGTACCACTCAGTGATGGGATCCAAGTGCCACCTGAGTTCACCCTGGGATACAGGGACACTTAGCATCCTTGCACTCAAATTCAGCAAACACAACTGGCTTGAATAGCATTTGCTGCTGTGGAAAACCATCAAGCTTCCTTTGAGTTTGCCTCTTATCATTCACTGAGTCACAAACTCTACTATTTGGCTAAGCCAAACCTCTTTTGGTTTGTCAGCTACTCTGTTTCTCCTCTCACTCTGGAATTTTGACTATGCTGTTCCTTCCAAGTGAACCACTCTTATTCTTAGCTCCCCACTTGGCAACTCCTTTCCATCAGACAGGCCTTGAGGCAAATGTTCCTTCCTCCAGGAAGCCCCCCTGGGTTCCCCAGCCTGGGTTGGGTGCCGCTCCTATGTTCTCCCACAGTCAGCTGTGTGGTCTCCATCACACCCTGCACAAAGTTGGCTAGTGAAGTACAGTCTCCGTTCCCTTTGGCCTGCGAGTTCCATGTGAACAGGGAGGTTTTATCTGTCTTGTTCATTGCCTTATTTCCAGGGCCTAACATCCCAACTGGCACATCCCGCTTGGCATCAAGCTGAGCCGGACTCATGGCACCCCATGTGTGTCCACGGGGTTTTCAGTGGCTGTTTTTTTGGAAGCAGATGGCTAAGGCTTCCTTCCGAGGAGCCTCTGGGGGGACCTGAACCCCCAACCTTTCACTTACCAGCCGAGCGCATTAACCAGGTGCTCAGCACATGTTTGTCAAATTGAACTAAACTCAGTTGTCTACACAGGAGCCCAAGTGGCACAGTGGTTAAAGTACTTGGCTGCTAACGGAAAGGTTGGTTTGAACTCAGCACCCAGGAGGAAGCTGAGGCAGTCAGCTTCCATAAGATTACAGCCTTGGAAATCACATAGGGCAGTTTTCCTCTGTCCCACAGGGCCACTATGAGTTGGAATCGACTTGGGGGCAGTTGATTTTGTTTTTGGGGGGGTTTCTATTGTCTCCTCTGGGGTGGGAGAAGAAAGCAAATGTGTAGGTTGAGGCCACTTGTTGGAATAGCTCGAGGACAGAAGGAGCATTCTGATAAGACTGGAAAGAAAAAGCGCTCCTTCATTTCAAAGAGGGCGAGGTGGTTAGATTGTAGAGTCTTCTAAGGAAGTAACTGGGAAGATGGCCAGAGGGAGGTGGGCAGCTGGTGCCACCAGTGACCTCAGGACATGTCTAGTCCCCTCTGGTTCCACCCTACCCTCTGGGCTGCGTCCTCACTGCAGCCCCTTAGCCTGTCTCCCTGAAGTGAGAGGAGGAAGCCGACGTGACGGCACCCACACTTCTGCGTTTGGCTGCTCATTAAATTGCTCCTTAACAGCAGATGGAACCGGCTAAAGCAAGGTTCCGGAGGGTTCTCCTTCTTCTCCATGTGCCGCACTTTATTACTGAAGGAATGAAGGAAGGAATGAACGAGCAGCTCGGCCAGCCAAAGTTGCCTGCGTTCACTGTCAAAGAGGTCTGATAAAGTCCAGGATCCCACGGGACCTGACAAATCATTGCAGGCTCTCACCTCTATTCTATCATTTTCAAAGAGGTCATGGGAAGCCCTTTAGGTGACCACTGAAGCCATCCCCCTCCTCACTGCAAGCTGCCCAGGTGACAGTTTGGCTTCAGCACAGGTAGCTCTCTCCCTCCCTCCTCCTCCCACTCCCCACACCCCATCTGAGGTGACCCCAAACAAGCTGCTGGCTTTGAGTCCTAATTTGTGATCTGCACAGGCCTCTCCTGAAGCACAAACACCAAGGACTTCAGTGGCAAGTCCCATTATGGGGATGACATGGCCATTAGTAACCATGGCAACCTCCTTTGCCCTGGCTCTCAGGGCTCCACAGGCCCAGTTCACACCAATCTCTTCCAGATCTCAGGGATTATGGGTAACCACCCCTGGCTGGACAAACATGGCTATCTGAAGAGACAGACAGCACCTTCTCTCAGCCACACCAAGGCAGACACCGAGGCCTTTAAAAGCCTTTCACTTTAGAAGAAACAGCTCCAAATCTCTGTCTGTAAACTTGGAGGCTTAATCTTCAAAAAAGAATATCCAAAAGAAAAGACAAGATGACACATCTCTTCCACATTTGTCTCTCAAGGCAGCCAAACAAAAGGGGCAGAGATGTGCTGTCCTTGTACTGGTAACTGGAGTCTGGAAGCCAGAAAGGATGGTTCCAAATAGGCAGGGGCATCAGGGGGCTCATGCAAATAAGGACACAAACTCTACCAGCCCCATAAGTTTCTTCCTTTTCACAGTAACTTTTAAAAAAGGGAGGAAGTGGGAAGCAAGCTGCTACATCGAGGGGCTTGCAACCGCTGTCCTGTATAGACTGTTGAGTGGAAAACTAATCTGCTCTGTAAACTTCTACCCAAACTACAATTACAAAAAAAAAGATTAAGTGCTTCCTGCTAACTGGAAGGTTGGTAAAAAAAAAATAAATAATAAAAATTCAAAAATAAAAAGAAGTCGTTACGAGCAGCACCATCTCTGTATCCTACAACCTGTATTTACCCTGACGATAAAAAGAAATGAAACCAGGATTTCCTGGGTGGAGCAAATGGTTAAGTGCTTGACTACTGGCCAAAAGGCTGGCAGTTCAAACCCACCCAGAGGTGCCTCAGCAGACAGGCCTGATGACCTGTCTCTGAAAGGTCACAGCTGTGAAAACCCCATGGGGCAGTTCTACTCTGCACACACGGGAGTGCCATGGGTAGGCATCCACGTAATGTTGACTAACGGCAACAACAGAGAATGAGATCATGGCACAGAAACAAATGCGACCAGCACTCCCCACCACGTGCCTGGGGTGAACAGGTGACTTACCTGTCTAGGCCTGGCCAGCCTCGGCAGGGACACTGTCGGAGTCTGAATCAGCCAGCTCCGCCGGGCCCTCCGGTGCAGTCTGACTCCAGCTGTCTGACCGGTCTGAGATGGTGTCCTCCTCTCCAACCGTCACCTCTACCCAATCCACAACGCCCGACTCCTCGTTCTCGTCGCTGCCATGGCCGTCCCGGCTGTTGCCCTCCGATTTGTCCGAGGTGGCCTCCGAGGGCTTTGCTGGAAGACAGTCTTTTGCTAGCTCGCTGCCCACTTTCACCCTGGACTCCAACTTCTCCAAGTCCTCTTCACAGAGCTTCTTGGGGTCCTTGTAATACTGCTGCACCACCTCGCTCCCATTCTTTGGGCTCTCGGTGATGGGTTTTGTTGCTTTTCTTGAGACAGCATTGTAGCCATGATCGTCCACAACGTGCTGGTGCTGATACTGCTCCATCCACTTCAGTGTTCCAGTTTTTAGCAAGCATCTGTTCTCCTTGAACCAACGCACAATCTCAGTTCGGACCAGGCCAGTCTTTGCCGCTAACTGGTCATACTCCTGAGGAGTGGGCCACTGTGTTCTTGCAAACGTGCTCCTCAGGAGATGACCCTGCTCTTGACTTCTTGTAATTGCTGGTGAAGGGATGGGCAGGGAACTGGCTAGCTGGGTGCCAGAGAGCTGGTCGAGTCGTGAGAGAGCACCATTGGGGGCCACCACCTCTTGGCCTGTCTTGCCAGACCCCATGGAATCCAAGACAGCCTGCTCCATGCTGTCCCGCAGCTTCCGCCTCTCAGAGAACCAGGAATCAATCTCTCTCCTGCTCAGCTTGGTCTCCCCCCTGAGCCGGTCCAGTTCTGCTTGGGTTGGAAAAGAGCTTTGCAAGAAGCTGTCTTCCAGGACTTTAACCTGACCCTGTGTCTTTTCCTTGAACTTCTGAGGGGCAAAGTCTGGGTATGCATGGTACGTGCGACCGTGTCGGGTGGCTGCTAGAGCCATCTGGTCTTTGGCAATGGATTCGCTGGTGATGTGGACGATGCCCCTTTGACACCTATACCGGTGGTCACTGAACCACTTCTTGATCTCGCTCCGGGAGAGGCCGGTCACCTCGATGAGTCGGTAGACTTCAGCATCGTCAGGGAACTGGCTCTGGAGGAAGCTGGCCTTGAGATGTGCAATCTGCTCCTTCGTCTTCTTGCGGTCGCTGGCGGGGGTCAATGGCGGATGGGCTACCTTGGGTGGGGGCTCTGGCACCTGAGTGACATGTGGACGCTTGGGTTCAGGGGCAGCTTGGGGAGTTACCAAAGGTCTCTTCTGGCCGTGGTTGGTCACCCCGGCCACAGCAAGAGTGATCGGGGAACAAGAGACGGTGGTTGACCCACTGGTCACCTGAGTCAGCACCAGGCTGGTCTGGCCGAGGATTTGGCATGGCAGAGCTGTCTGGAGAATGGGCTGTGACATTTTGGTGGGGGCCAGCTGGGCAGGCAGCACAGTGATGGTCGGGGGCACTGACTGGATGGTGCCATTAAACATCTTCTTCCGGGCCTCCTCCACCTCTTCTGGGGACCAGCTGATGCCGTGCTTTAAGCGCTGGGTGGCGAACCAGATCCGGATGTGCTCCTCTGGGTGCTTGGAGGCAGCCGTCAGCCAGGACAACTCGGCCTGGGTTGGGTAAGGGAACTTGTTGAAGGAGTTGATCATGGTGGCGTTGGTGTCCAGGGCAGAGTTGTATTTGGTAGTATTCAGTGGAACGGGGACCTTGGGGACAAGGTTGATATTTGGTGGGAGCTGTACAGAAGGCATGACATGCCCCAGTGAGTCCTGGAGGAGCTCCACGCCACCGAGTCGTGAGAGGATCTCAGCTGCGTCGGCCACCAAGCGGGCAGTCCCGTCCACGTGGTTCTGAGCGGGGGCCTCCTCGGGCTTCTTGGGCACCTTCTTGGCTTCAGCTTTCGGTTTCCCAGGCTTCATGATGGGGGTTTTGCTCACCGAGATCCCGGGATCGTTGTCAGTACCTGTGGGACCACCCTGGGTGATAGAGATGACGTGGTTGGTAGCTTCGATGGACTGTTCTAACACAGTTTGGTTGTTGTGTTTGATGAGCTTCAGCTTGAAGCTTGTCTCCCCGGGATGGAACCTGGAGTTGTGGTTGGACAAGGAGTCGTACTTTTTGGTTGTGAAGTTGCACTCAGCGCATACGTAGAGGGGGTTGAGGATCACGTTGGGGTGCTGCATGTCAACGTGCTCCGTGAACTCATTCAGGTTCTGCGTGGAGTAGGGGCAGTATTTGCATTCGTACCCACCTTGGAGCTTTTTGGATGGGGGTTCCCCCGAAGACTTCACCTCAATCACGTCATTTTCTTTGGAAGAGTTTTCGGGTTCTGAGGCCCAGCTTTCCTTGGCCACATCAGGCTGTGGCGTGCCCGTTCCTTTTTCTTTGGCCCTGTCTCCCTCCTCAGGCATGTCTTGTTCCACGACTTGTGACGTCCGAACCATGCAGGGAGTTGTGGATTTTCGTTTGCTTGCCATGCCTCCTGCTTGGGGCGCAATGTTTTTATTTGGGGGTGGGGGTGGGGAGTGGTGTTGGGCGGTGAAATTCTTAGAACAAATAAGATAAAAGGCTTTTGGCTTTACTCTCCTGCAAATGGCTTTGGCTTCCTTTGAATGCTGAAGTCCAGTGCTTACGTTTTCAGAATGGTTTCAGCACAGAAAATTGTAACTGCTCCAAGTGCCAAGCACGCCAGGCAGCATTGTATCTGTGGAACATAAACAAAGACAGGTCAGTGTCTCCTCGTACGGCAAAGGAAACTAGACCCATCCCAGTGGGCATCCAAAGATGGCGGGGCAGTGGGTGCCGGCAAGAAGGGAAGATTTTGCTCTCTGGGAAGGATGACGCAAACAGGCCCAAAGCCAGCAGAGAACGTGGCTGCCATTTCAGGCCCAGACACAAAAGGATATGGAAAAAGAACAAAGACCCGAGATCATCTCCACTGGGAGGTGGGGTGGGGATGTTGCAGAAGGCATGTTGCTGGGCTCGCGGGCTGCTTTCCCACAGGGCAAGTCAGAAGCAAGCAGCTTCCCTGGGGCCATCCAGTGGCATGGGCATTAGAAAATGGACAGAAACCTTCTTTTTTTAACTACAAAATAAAATCACTATAGAAAATTCAGCAAGTACCGAAAAATCCAAACCCACTGCCAGTGAGTCGATTCCAACTCACAGTGACCCTATAGGGCAGACAATCTTTATGGAAGCAGACTGCTACATCTTTCCTCTGTGGAGCGGCTGGTGGGTTCCAACTACTGAACTTTTGGTTAGGAGCTGAGCCTTTTAACCAGTGCACCACTTGGGTGCCCTTGAAAAGTCTAAAGGTTAAAAAAAATCCCAAATATTTCGTGTGTTCCATTTCACACTTTTGCCCTTTTGTCTATGTGAGAATAGCCACACACACACCCAAACGCACACATGCCTATATTGTAGTTGTGCTGTTAGTTCATTTCACTTGAACAGTATTCTAGTTCCATAAATACTGAGCTAAACAAAGATTTAGAGAATGGCTGTGTAACACTACATCACAGGGATATGACTGGGGTCCCCGGGGAGTGTAAACAGGTAAGTCTCCACTACTAGCTGAAAGGTGGGTAGTTCAAACCTACCCAGAGGCAGTGGCATCCCTAGGGGTATGGGAAGGGGTGCAAAGTGATGCAGACCATACCAGCTGACACTGTCAGACGGGTGACAACAAAATGTCTATGCAGTGTTTCAGCAGAAACTTATCATTTTTCATAAAAATATTCCTGTAGTTAGTTAGAAGAGCCCTGGTGGCACAGTGGTTAAAGGTGCAACTGTTAACCAAAAGGTCAGGGATTCGAACCTACCAGCTGCTCTGTGGGAGGAAGATGTGGCAGTCTGTTTCCATCAAGATCACAGGCTTGGAAACCCTCTGGGGCAGTTCTACTCTGCCCTGTAGAGTCACTATGAGTTGGAATCGGCTTGACAATGGGTAGGTATAACAACGATAACATTTTTCATACACCCAGTTCACATGTGTGCACCTACAAGGCGAACACCCTATGCTACTTTACTTTTGGAACCTTCTACTGTGCTTGGTCAGAGCTGTTGTTACCAACCAATTATAATGACACTTTGAATCATGTGGTTCTGCTGCATGCCTTAGGAGCATGCTCTGTTGTTTCTGTTCCTGGCAGTGTTTTGTTTTATTTTTTTAAAACTTTTTGTTGCATGCCAGTGTTTTTATAGTCGCTGATCTTGTCAAATTTTCTGGTGTTCTAGTTACAATACTGTGGTAAGTAGTATTTGTGAACCTACATCAATAACTTTTTTGAGAGTGAAGTAGTTAATGGTAAGAAAAGGAGAAAAATAAAAAAAAAAAAGGCTTCCTCTCAGTTACTCATGTTGTAACTAATAACGTTATAATTCAGTGTAGAAAGATTTTACGAAACAATTTTGTTAGTATTCATATAAACTAAGAAATACTACATTTAAGTCAATTACAGCTGCATCACATATTATTCTATGATTAAAACTGACAATCAGCATTACTAAGGATTCTGGATGGTCTGATATGGGAGAAGGTCCATGGGACCAGGGGTGACGCCCCTGTCCAGAGGCGCCCTGGAAGACGGGCCTGGAGACCTCCTTCGGGAAAGTCATGGCCTTGAAAACCCTATGGAGCAGTTCTACTCTGTACATATGGGGTCATCGTGACTCAGAATTGAGGCCATGGTAACTAACAAGAAGAAGGGATATGCTACAATGTAGTTAATCATTTGACTTTCATTGGACATTTAAGTTATTTCTAATTTTTATCTCTTATCAACAACATTGCAGGGACCAATCACCCTTAGCCCTTACTTCAGATAGTTGCCTTGGACAGTGCCTGCCAGTAGAAGCACTGGGTCCAAGAGTACCGATGATTTAGTTTCTGCACCCACTGGCCTTACACCTGGCAGCGTCTGAGAGGCCTAGCTGATACTTAGCCTACTCTGAATGTTATCATTTAAAAAGGCTTTACTGATCGGATAGGAGAAAACTGTTTTAGTATGCTTTTCTTGATTGGTAATAAGGTTGAATTTTTAAAATAAGGCTTATTTGCCATTTATTTTATTTTTTTTTTTTTGTGAATTATCTGTGCATGCAGTTCTTCTGTTGTGGTGTGTGGTTTTATCATTAATTTCATGACTTTTTTTTTTAATATATTAAGAATATCAATCCTTTGCTGATTTTTTCCAGTCTGTCATGTATTTTTTAGTTTTGCATATGTTTATTTTTTAACATATGTTGTTGCTGTAGCTGCCCTCAAGTTGGCCCCTAACCCACGGTGACCCCATGTTACAGAGTAGGACTGCTCCATAGGGTTTTCTTGGCTGTAAACTTGACCAAAGCAGCTAGCCAGGCCTTTCTGCCACAGAACCTCTGGGCGAGTTGGAACCACCAACCTTCTAGGTTCCAGCTGACTGCAAACCGCTGGCACCACCCAGCCTCCTATTTTCAAACACACACAAGCTTTAATGTTTAAGAGCAAACTGATTGGTTTTTTGCTCTTGTGGCTTCATTCACTGCTTTTATAGAGGAATCTCATCTTGATAGTCGAGATTTATACATCTAGGTTTGCTTGGAGTATTTAGTTTTTATGTGTAACCACCTGGAGCTGAACTTCTCTTGTGTGGAACTGTAAGGCACAATCCTAACCCTGTTTCTTTCTTTTATTTTTTTCCCTTCAGGTAACATTTATTTCTCACCTTGTATGTAACACTATATAGTTTATGAAAGATATTAGCAAACTGGAACACGATGAAAAAGAAGTAAAAGGAATAGTGAGGCATCTGAAAAAAAGTCTAGCAAAATTATTGAAGACTTTAGTGAATGCTGACCTACAGAAAAGCAGACTTAGGGAGGACATGGTCAGTATCTTCACGTATGCAAAGAACTGTCACAAGGAAGAGAGATGACACTGACTATTTCATTCTGAAAGGCAGAATGGCCCACTGCACTCAGAAGGAAACACCAGGTTTCTAACTGTGACCTATTGAACCCTGTTTCTGGAGTTACCAGTCATCTCTGCAGTGTGGACTGTGCTAGCTTGTCTCAATAGTGCCCGAAGCCACCTTTCTCGCACACCTGCTTCTTACACGTACTGGGGTTACTTCTGGGTTATCTAATCTGTGCTGCTATCTAGAGACTTGCACTTAAATAAAAACAAAACAGGTGCCATTGAGTCAATTCCAGTGCATGGTGACCTCATGCATGTCAGAGCAAAACTGTGCTCCAATAGGGTTTTCTTCCTTTGTGTTTCTTCTCAATGCTATTTATTTATTTGTCTTTGTTGAGAATACCCACAGCAAAACGCCCACCAGTCCAACCGTTCCTACACGTACAATGTAGGCGCGCTGGTGACAGTCTTCGCGTTGTGCAGCCGTTCTCCCCTCCTTTTCTGAGTTGATCCTCCCTCATTAACATAAACTCACTTTTTTTTTAAAAGAAAGATTCCTTTCTTATCTTTCGATTGTTGTTGTCAATCTGAACTCATATAGATAGATCTTAGAAGAGCATAATACCCTAGGCAGACAGTTTTTACTAGTGAAGCTAAACTGTTTTCACTAGTAAAGCTAAACTATTGTTCACTTTTAAGGTGACTTCAGAGGATGTTTTTGGATTAAGGTTTAAAGATGATCTCAGAGCAATAGTTTCAGGGGTTCATCCACCCTCCATGGCTCCAGAAAGTCTGGAGTCCATGAGAATTTGAAATTCTGTTCTTCATTTCCCCCCCTTTTGATTAGCATTCTTCTATGGAATCTTTGATCAAAATGTTCAATAATGGTAGCTGGGCATCACCCAGTTCTTCTGGTCTCATGAAAAGGGAGACAGTTGCAATTCTCCACACATCCCATATCCTCTTCCTATTTCTGACATTCTTTCTTTCTCTGTTGCTCCAGGTGAACAGAGACTAATTGTGGTGTTTGGATATCTGTTTACAAGCTTTGAAGACCCCAGACATTACACAATGAATGGGATGGTAGAACAGAAGCACTAAACATGTTATTAGGCCAGTTAACTGGGCTGTCCCATGAAACCATGGTCCTAAATCTCCACATAAGGTATCAAATCCCATTAGGTTCCTGGTTATACATATGCAGCACTACTGATTTTTTTTGTGTGTTATTTTTGTAAATATATCTATCAAACAGCTTTTGCCATCTTTTTACAGGTATACAACTTATTGATGGCAATTATAGTAATGGCTGTGCAACCCTGCCCTTAATCAATGTGATTTTTTCCATCACCATTAGCTGCCTTTTCTCGCCTGCCTCCCATCCCTGATAACCACTGATAAACTTTACTCTCTATACATTTGCCTTTTCTTGTCTTTTTATATAAGTGAGGCCATAAAGTATTTGTCCTTTTGTTACTGACTTATCTCACTCAAGCTCCATCCATACTGAAGCATGTATTAAGACTTCATTTCTCCTACTGGATGAGTAGTATTCCATTGAATATATGCATCACACTTTGTTTACCTGTTTGTTTGCTGATGGGCATTTAGGTTGTTTCCACCTTTTGGCTATTGAGAATGGTGCTGCAACAAACACTGGTGTCCAAGTCTCT